ACGAATTATCAAAAGAACAGTTTTTCCATTTCTGTTATTTTAACTACCTTCACTCCTCGTCAATGTTTACTGTTTTAAAAAGCAGTGATTAGAATTGGAATAAAACCTAAATATATGATGAAAGTGAATTCATACATTTTTTATTCTTGAGAACTTACATCAAAGTATTAACAGATCACGACATGTAACAGATGTAATTTAAATTTTTATTATTGCATTATTCTAAAATTTTAACACATCAGCAGATAGCTATTAATGTCGACAACTGAGCACAAATAGTTATTAATTAAGAAAATTATATAATATTATCCATAACTACATGTACAAGAAAAATAATCATAAATACGTAAATAATGCGTATATTGTTGAAAATTCCTTTTTCCACAGTACAGCTATTTGTGATATGTTATAATGCTTATTATCTAAACATCAATAATAATAATGAATATTTTTTTTAAATTAAAATATATTTAATCACATCTCCCTAATAGCTGTCACGATCTGTAAACAATACTTGTTTATTTACAAGAATAATTTTATATTTACAACATTCCTAAAATCAATTCAATGCAATATTTATCATTTACCAATTTATAAAGAAATAAATGCGAAAACAATTTTTTATTCATAAGTTTATAAACATTTACTAAATTATTAAAATATATGAACCAACAATAAGGAAATCCTTATTTATTATTTTATAAAGTTTGAATCAATTGGCAATGGGGCAATGTTTTGCCAACCATTCCAATGAATAATATAATAAATTAAAATAACTTAATAAATAATGTTTATTATTTTTCTTGTCAGTTGTCAAGAACAAAGAAATTCATTTTCATATCTTTAAGGTTTTATTCCAATTCTAAACATCGCTTTTTAAAACAATAAAGAATAAAAATTGGTGTCATGGGAAAAAAACGTCCCTTTCACACTACGTCTTATTGCGAGCAGTAAGTCTATGTTTACCGTGTCTTTTTGCTATTTCCGGTTAGTCCTTTCTTCCAGTTGTCCCTTACTATCATGTCTAGTTCTTCAGTTTTTTTTCTGCGTCAATACAAGATAATCTGTGTACCTTATGTTATTAAGATTTGTGTCTAACCATAATAAAAGTTGATGGCAATTCTAATTCACTTAGCATCCTCTCCTGAAAGTGTCAAACCAGTAAAGAATATTTTATCCTTAATAACCACTCGAATTAATTGGGACAAGAATGAGTAGAAAAGAGGTGGCTTTTTTAAGGAAAGAACTGGGTAGTTGAGAATTAAATACGAGGTCGAGACTATGGATGTTATGGCTTTTGCTGCTGGGTTGATTCTTTCACCTAAACATCCAAATCTTGTTGAATTGTCTTCGTCGCTGAAATAAATAGACAAAGAAAAAGTCGCAAGGATACGGAGACACTAGAGGGACAGTTTAGGACACTGATTTTATTTCCTTTTTTTGTGGGATTTCAACGACCTCTTGTTGGGGGATTTCTTTCCCGAACAGTTGGCACGTGTTCACCAGTCAAAGGTCCAACGGAGAAAAGAGATAGATTCTTCTAGTTTATTTTTGGCGCCAGGAAATCTCTCTTTTTGCACATGCGTAAATTGTCTTTCCTGTCAGAAGACTCCAGGAAAATTTTTATGTTTATTTTATTTTGTACTTTTATTTAATTTTGTATTTTTATTTTATTTCGTGTTTTTATTTTATCCCCACAAGACAATAAATTATCAATGAAAAATGAAGACAGAATATACAGGAAATGTACATTAAAGAAAAAAGTACTGGGTTCATGTGGTACATGAACCCGGGATCTCTCGCACCATAATCATACCCCGTAGAAAAACGAAACAAGCGCTTCTCCTAAAACTACATTTAACGTGGAATTCAGTCAGTTATGTGCCATGTATAATACACGCTTAGGCGATCAGGTATCTTTCGATACATGACTGACGAGGCAAATATTTTTTTTTTTTCGTAGGTTGCCATTTCTTTCTTCAGTAGACCCGTTGCCATCCAGGGTTATAGAACCTGGTCTGTCCTGCTATTTACTCATAGCTAGAAGAGTGGATTTATACCTTTCCCAAGGGTATTTGAAATGGCGTTGAATTAGAACGCAATTATTCTGTTGGGTAATAACAGAATCACATATTAAAGTAAATTCAACTAGGCTGCGGACGGAAAGTGGCTCGTTGGTCTAGGGGTATGATTCTCGCTTAGGGTGCGAGAGGTCCCGGGTTCAAATCCCGGACGAGCCCAACTTACTTTTTTCCCCCTTTGGCAAAGTATTTTTTTCTGATTTTCTGTGCATGACATTTTGATTGAATGTCGAACATGCTAAAACATTGATATATATATATATATATATATATATATATATATATATATATTCATTCAAAATTTGGATGTTTTAGCATATTTCGACAATCTGTATATATATATATATATATATATATATACTGAGCGATGGATAAATGCCAAGTAGTACAGCATGCTGTTTACAAATCCATGGCAGAGTGAATTACGTCATGGTGCTCTTTTCCCCCCCTACGGTGCCCAACTGGCCCTTCTATGATGTGCGGTGGACCAAATCAAAAACAACGCGCATGCGCGAAATTAATAATATAAAATGACGACAATTAAACCATCGCACTCAGTAGATAGATAGATAGATAGATAGATAGATAGATAGATAGGAAGGATCACTACTTTTCGAGTAGTAGAAATTATACATTTATATAATGTTAAACGAAATTCAATTTAAAAACTATCAGTTCCTTGTCGCCGTTCTGAAAATAATTGTAGATAAACCCAAAGGAGTAATGGCCGGGAGCTTTTCTGTCATATAGGTTCTATGAATATATTTTTTTCAAAGCCGTTTCCTTTAGCTCGTAGATGTTCATGGCACGCCACAAATCCCTTTTCTTTAGTATCTGTGAACTGTCATGACTTCTTAGTCAAGATGGTGTCGTGGTTTTCTGTTGCCTTCTTCATGATCTTGAATTACGAATGGTCCTTCTCCTAAACTTTCACCTCAGAGAGCAGAATTTACGATGTTATTTAACCTTTAGCTGATATTAATGCAAAAATGAACGGACCCGTTTTGGCCGGATATAGTGAGTATTATATCTTACGACCTCTGTCCCGTAAGGATTATGACCTTAGCTTAAATATCTACATGACTATAGCTGTAAGTATCTATAAATTCAAATCCTGGAAATGACGACATCCGGCATCAAGGCTTCTATTCGGGAGATTAGAGGTTTTGAGGGGAGTGAAACTACCTTTTAATTGCTTTTGTTGACAGACCCACCCTGGCCTAGGGTGGTAGCACCTGTTAGGGACCCATCTATAGGAAAATAGTAACCCCCCCCCCCAAAAAAAAACCAAGAACACTATGAAAGTATAAAAATACATTTTAATAGTAAAATTGCCAGCAATACATCTACAGTTGCCGCTTTTTCTTTGGATTTTGTCTAGAACTTCTAGGTACAAACTGAAGCACCAGACCATGGTTGACAGCAATATATGATGCATGGATGATCACGTGATCTGAACTGCTTTTATTCAAAACAAAGTTTCGTCTTATTTTCTTTCTTTTTCGCTCCTGATTATTGTTTATTTGTTAAATTACACACTGGCTTCTAAGAAGAATTCTCCCTCAATCTAAAATTGATTTAGCCGTAACAAACCCAAGAAATTCAAAAGCGTAATGAAAACTCCAGACTTATCAGCACCTCATTTGCAGCACTGATGCCGAAACTAAACTTGCAAATATCTTCTCCTTGCTTGTTTGCAGTTTTACCAGTTTGAAATAAGTAGTAAGGGAAGTAATTAAGAGAAAACTGACGCTGACGTTGTTAGATAACGGATTAGCTAATCAGACGAAGGTTTTTTTTTTACCTGTAGGCGGACTGTAACGCATAAGATTCGAACAGATCAACATTGTTTTATCGATTTATAAGATGATCTTGAAAATACGCGGGCGAATAACGGGTGCATATTCAGTGAGCCTGGTAATTACTAGGAGCGAGGGTCACACGTGCCTGTCGTAAAAGGGTAACTCTCGGTCACCGAGACTCCGCCGCCAAATGTACCTCCAGTCCTTGCCCGAGTGGGATGACACGTCTGCAAAATTTGAATAAGCAGTTATTAGTAAATTGCTGCTTGAAGCCTTGACAAGTCAGCAGTTGGTCTGGTCATTTGGAGGACGTTAGTTTTCAACGGGGTTCGTGAATGAGACATAGGGAGGAGAAAGAAAGAAAGAAAGAAAGAAAGAAAGAAAGAAAGAAAGAAAGAAAAAGGGTTGTGGAAAATATAAAAGAAAGAAAGAAAGAAAGAAAGAAAGAAAGAAAGAAAGAAAGAAAAAGGGTTGTGGAAAATATAAAAGAAAGAAAGAAAGAAAGAAAGAAAGAAAGAAACAAAGAAACAATGAAAGAAAGTGTGGGCTAATATTTAAAAAAGAGATGGTAGGTAACGAAAAACAAAAGAAAATAAATGACAAAGACAAATGCAAAAGAAAGAAAGAAAGAAAGAAAGAAAGAAAGAAAGAAGGAAGGAAAGAAAGAAAGAAAGAAAGAAAGAAAGAAAGAAAGAAAGAAAGAAAGAAAGAAAGAAAACGGTGTAAAAACAAAATATAAGAAATATCAAATGAAAATGTTAAAGGAAACATGGAAAGAAAGAAAGAAAGAAAGAAAGAAAGAAAGAAAGAAAGAAAGAAAAAGTGTTGTGGAAAATATAAAAGAAAGAAAGAACGAAAGAACGAAAGAAAAAGAAAGAAAGAAAACGGTGTAAAAACAAAATATAAGAATTATAAAATTAAAATGTTAAAGGAAACATGGAAAGAAAGAAAGAAAGTGTGGGGTAATATTTAAAAAAGAGGTGGTAGGTAACGAAAAGCAAAAGAAAATAAATGACAAAGACAAATGCAAAAGAAAGAAAGAAAGAAAGAAAGAAAGAAAGAAAGAAAGAAAGAAAACGGTGTAAAAACAAAATATAAGAAATATCAAATGAAAATGTTAAAAGAAAGAAAGAAAGAAAGAAAGAAAGAAAGAAAGAAAGAAAGAAAGAAAGAAAGAAAAAGTGTTATGGAAAATATAAAAGAAAGAAAGAACGAAAGAACGAAAGAAAAAGAAAGAAAGAAAACGGTGTAAAAACAAAATATAAGAATTAAAATTGAAAATGTTAAAGGAAACATAGAAAGAAAGAAAGAAAGAAAGAAAGAAAGAAAGAAAGTGTGGGGTAATATTTAAAAAAAAAGGTGGTAGGTAACGAAAAACAAAAGAAAATAAATGACAAAGACAAATGCAAAAGAAAGAAAGAAAGAAAGAAAGAAAGAAAGAAAGAAAACGGTGTAAAAACAAAATATAAGAAATATCAAATGAAAATGTTAAAGGAAAGAAAGAAAGAAAGAAAGAAAGGAAGGAAGGAAGGAAGGAAGGAAGGAAACGCTGGAAAAAGAAAATATAAGATATATCAAAAGAAAATATCAAAGGAAACATTAAAAGAAAGAAAGAAAAATGACTGTGGAAAATTTAAAAGAAAGAAAGAAAGAAAGAAAGAAAAAAGAAAGAAAGAAAAAGAAAGAAAGAAAAGATGAGAAATGAGTTGAAGGAAAAGTAAAAAGGATGAAATAGGGTAAAAGAGGAAATGTCGAAAAGAGCAAAGGAATGAAGGAGAGAAGGGAGAAGAGAAGAAAATAGAGAAATAAATGAAGAAAGAATTCGTAAAATAAAAATTGAAGGATTTCCAGGTGTAAAATATTAGGCGGTGAATAGTTTTAGTTCTACCATTAATTACTATTTATTCTCTACTCAGTCACCTTTATTTTGAACTCAGTAACCCTTATGTTCGGCTTGGAAAGGTTACCACTCGCTACAAGTGTCCCTATTGATTAGGAAACGTAAAAAATGTAAAGGGGGGAATTTTTCCGTTGGCCTATGATCCACTTTTTGCACTGAGATCTTTCGACTGAATTTCTCATTGGATTTTACTGCCTTTTTAAATTTTTGAATTTTGTCACATAATATCCGCTTCCATCAGGACTACAAAAGTTAAATTTAATAAAGTATCCAAAATTTAGCTATTATAATAGATAGTATGTACAGATTTCAGAAACATGTAAAAAAGACACACACAAAAGGAGAAACACGCACACACACACAGATATATATATATATAAGTGGTCAATATATATATATATATATATATATATATTTCCAAGAGGATATAATCAAGGTAGAGATCTATGTCATAGACAGAGCAAATATATAAATATATATATATATATATATATATATATATATATATATATATATATATCAGTTGAGCACTCTTGAGAGATAAGCTGAGTCTATAAACAACAGTCACCTGCGCTAATGCAAAGCTCTTAAGTAAAATGAATTGGAGCCCTCTGATTGATTGGAGTTTGTTTACATTTGTAAAAACAATAGGCTAGAATTAGCTGTTTCTCTCTGCTGAATGATGATAGCTCAGAGGTAGAAACTCTGACTGACACCAAATTGGTCGGGTTTCGGTCCTGGTTTGAAGCATTCGGATATCCAGTCGCACTGAGGAACTGTGATGCAGCGAAACATTACTGTCTGCGAATGACGCACACATATATATATATATATATATATATATATATATATATATATATATATATATATGGACATAAATACGTTAAGAGGCCGGAAAAATAGCCTACCAAAATACGGACGTATAAAAAAGTGCTCAATGCAGAAGCTGTCTTGAAAAAAGTTATGTAGGGCAAGTGGCGACTTCGGCGATCGGGCTCAGCCCGAGTGAGTCAACATTATTCAAGTATATCTATTTCCAACCAACAAAATTCTTTCATAGTGCGTCGTTTTCATTCTTCACTTCAGCTGGTTCCAAAATTTATTGTTTCACCTCCGTGCCTCGAAATATTGACCGAAATACATTTCGTTGATATTGTCCATAATAAAGAAGAAAGAAAGAACAAAGATTAAAAAAAAAGAAGATCAAAACTAAATAAAAAAAGAATAAAATAAAATTAATGTGGCTAGTGGGACGACATAGATCTGAACCCTATCTAAGCTGAAGATATTTAATAGGCAATGTAATTTTTGCTTTAATTTTATAAAAATCTCTAATGATTTGTATGCCCTGTTTCTCAATTTATTCTTTTTAAATGTCCATTTTAAGTAATTTACTCCGCACGGTATAAAGCTCTTTAGCACAATTTATCAATTGAAAAAGGGCAAATTTAACCCGACCTAAAGTCGGCGAAAATCAAAAAACTCGTCGACTGGAGGGTTGTAGGTTTACGATATACTTTGAATTCTAATTTATTTTGATTTTTAATGAGTAATATGTCTAAAAATATGTCGTAAACCTACATGTAAAAATGACTATTTACATTTTTACTCTCACCATGATACTAACACTAAGAGGGGTATTGTTATTGGATTCTATTTGAGGGCTCTTCGCATCTGTTCATCCAAATATTTAAATGATGAATTTACATATATTGAGGATACCTTTTCAAATCTTTCGTATCCGAGACAATTATTACAGAGAGCTAAAAATAAAGCGTTGAAAATTCACTCATCAGCGCAAAATGACACCTCAAAGGCCACTACAACTAGATCAATGAAAGATACAATTTCAGCTGCCTCTGATAATATTTCGTTTGGTCGCATCTTTTTACCAAATAACCATTTGACCGAACGTATCTCTCATAATCTAAATGCATTAAAAATTAGAACTACTATATTACCTACTAGGACTATCCGTAGTTTATTAAATAGCACCAGCAGACAACATATTACATCCGATGCTTGCATCTATCAAATATCATGCAAAATTGTGAAAAAAAAAATGACCTAAAATATGTGGGTGAAACAGGTAGGTCCTTAAAATCTCGTGTTTTCGAACATAAACGAGATATTCGTCTCGGTATTTTAACAATGCTTTAGTTGTACACACAACTAAAGCAGATCATAATTTCGATTTCGATTCCGTGAAAGTATTAAAATATTTTCATAATAAAAATCTCAGGAGGATTTATGAAGCAGGTATAATATCCATCTCACGCACGGTGAATACTAGACCTGGTTTCTTTAATATTTTTTTTTAGCGAGATTGATGCTCGACAAGCATACACATAAGAATTTTAGAACCTAATAGAATTTTTCATTTTTTTTTCATTTCAAAATAATCACAAACTTTTAGGAATACGTTATGAAAGCGTCGCCCATGTGACGACGGCGTGACTATGTTAGACGGAAGGCTGATCATTTTAAAAATTTTCAGTTATCTGTTCTGAATAAGACTTGTGTTTTTATGTCCATCGTATTTGTCATATTGAACTGAATTGTATTTTGATGAATATTGTCTTGAAAAAGGTTTATTAAACCGAAACGTCGGACGTCGACATTTCTTTCATTTTAACTACATTTAAGGATTTTTGTTTGTTTTTTCAAAATTTCTTCATATATATATATATATATACATATATATATATATATACCGGGTGCCCAAATCGTGTAACACCAAAATAGTCCAAATGTCCGATTAAGATTAGAAATGATTGAATATATCTTACTTGAATTCTCCCAGGTTTTTATAACACTATTGGACTCTAATTTGCGCAAAAAGTATGTATAATTAGTCTCCAAGCTTAACAGAAGAGTCGTGATGAAATCAGTCATAAGCAAAAATGACATGTTCATCATTAATTAATCATAGCTAAGGATCGGAAACACATGAAGTATTGAAATTAAGTTCAAATATATATATATATATATATATATATATATATATGTATGTATGTATGTATGTATGTATTATTCCAGTATCATATTCCAACTTATTCAAGATGATCTTCGTCCTCTCTAACATTCTAACTTTCTATCCTGGGGTAAGAAGGTGCTTCACACCTTTCAGGTACGATTTCATTTTGAAGTTTTTTTGTTTTTTTTTTACTGCCCTTTGGACTGTCATGGCTGAAACTACTTTCACATGCCAAACGTCTTATGGATTGAGTTGGATCTTTTCTAATTGATCTCTTTAGCCCTAAGTTGAAACGATGATCCCTCCTTCTATTGTGACCTCCTGATCCAGTTTTCCTCTCTACTATTCCCTCCTTTTTAAACTTATTCACCATTCTCTGGATGGTCTGAATGGACTTTAAAGATGGAAGCCAGAGTATGAATGTTGGTAACATTACTGAAAGCCTAAATGATCATTCTTTCTGTTTTCTTCCTCTTTTTGATTCCTTCCTTCTTCTTCTTCTTCTTCTTCTTCTTCTCTTCTTTCTTTCTTTTTTTTTTTTTTTTTTTGTAAACTTAACTTAATCCGGCGCGAGGGCAAAAGGAGAAAAATGGAGCGTGGAGATGGGTTTATGCTAATATTTTACGTTGAAAGATTGCCTCTTTAAAAGTCAACATTAATAATGCTTTCGCTACGACTCGAACACTGACCTCTTATACCGGTTGGAAAGGGGAAAAAAAAAAGATGAGGTGTCATGACCTTGGTTACGTTCTAGCTTTTCCTTACTTTCTTTCTAAGATTTTTAAACTTCCATCTCTTTTCATTTTCCCTCCACCTTTCTTTGAAAACGAAAATTTCTCATTTATAGAAAAATAACCCTCCCAATTTATGTACCTCCAAGTAGGAGGATCTTTTGCACTCGTGGCTTAGGGTCATCGCTACAGGCGGGACTAATGGGGACGTCTTTTTTGTCCCGCAATCAGAGCAGCATTTTACTGAGGTCACTGGCTGACGGATACATGAACAATGTTTTTCCGTTTTCCAAATCGGATTTTTGTTTGTTAGCGTCTTTCTTGTTGTGTAGCTCTTAATAGCAATCACAAGCTAGCCTCGCCGTTGGATAATTATCAGCGACCTGCTCTAACAAATCCTTACTTCTGAGTAGTTAGGTCAACTATCAGTGGGTGCCACACACTTGTGCCCTTAACCGCATTTTGAACCACTTAATAAGTTTAACTTTCAACAGTTTCAAAGTGTTTCTTTTCTTTTCACTGGAACACCTCATAAAGACTGAAATCACTAAACTAGCGGATTAGTCTACGAAGAAAGCTTGATAACCCTTGTTCGGTGCAAATAAAATCCTACCGTATTTGCTTGGATTGTTTTTTACGGTTTATCAACCCTTTGTGGGTTATTTAAATTCGAAACATAATTTGGATTGTAACAATAATCCTTTTTTTAAAGTGAATCTTGCATTAACAATTTTGTTGAGAATAACAATTTTTCCAAATAAAATCCTACTATTTAACTCATAGTTGGTGGGATTTTCCCAGATGTACTCCTACTATTTAAAGCACAGCTGGGGGGATTTTTTTCCAGATGCAATCTCACAGCTGAGGGATAATTTTTCCAGATACAATCCTACTATTTAACCCATAGCTGGAGCGTGATTTCCAAGATACAATCCTACTATTTAATTTATATCCGTGGGATGATTCTTCCAGATACAATCCTACTATTTAACCCATAGAAAGGGGGATTTTCCAGATACAATCGTACTATTTAATTTATATCCGGGGGATATTTTTTCCAGATACAATCCTACTATTTAACCCATAGCTTGGGGGATTTTTCCAGATACAACCCTACTATTTAATTTATATCCGTAGGTTGATTTTTTCAGATACAATCCTACTACTTAACTCATAGATGGGGGGGGATATCATTCCAGATACAACTCCTACTATTTAACCTCGTGTTACTCACCATTTTTCTTTTCTTATTTCATGTAGCACTTATAAAATAACTAAACCACTGTGGAGCACTTTAAATTTTAATAAGGAAAAGTTAGGCATGACATTTGAAAATAAGAAAATAATGAAGTTTCCAGTAATAAGTATTTATCTTTACGACATTGAACGCTTGTTGTGGTGTAATGGATAATGAGAAATCGGAGAGCCGAGTTCGAATTCCAGTCGGATTCGTTACATTCATTTACGCACAAATAACCTTGGCGCGGTCTGATTCCATCTGTTCTCCCTCCAGCTATAGGTTGAATAGCAAGACAGACTGACTTCTGTGGGTAGGCTTAGGTGACAACCGGTTAACCGCAGAAAGAAATGGCAAATTACTGCAGTAAAATTTTCAGTCATGAATCGAAAGAGACATGGTCACTCAAGCGTGTATCACGTATGGCACTAAACTGACTGACCGTATGAAACTTGTGCTTTGGCAATTTTTGGAATGTTACGTCTTATATATGATAAAAATACTCTCATTTCCATATCAATGGATTTAATATTTGATCTGTTTTTGCATGTAACGTTGGTAAGTGCAGAAAATCTTTATCTTTATTGATGGAGATCTGATGTGGAAAACTGCAATAAAATATTAGATAGAGTCTAAAGGCGATCTCCGAGTCCTTGTCGGTGACGAATTATATTTAACCCCTTCCCAACCTCTCTCTAACAGGCGGGATGTGGTGAGCCTCTCGCTGTTTTAGCGCCACTTTCACAGAAAGTGCTCGAACGAACTCTATTCCTCGCTTCCTCCAGTTTCAGCCTTCACGGCTAGGACCCGACATGCAAATCACACTGTAGCAAATCACATCATTACCTTTGCATCACACTGGTAAGAAGTAAGTTCCACTGGAACAGCTTCTTCCCATGAACCACTGCTCTGTGGAACCGACTTCCAATGTTAACCTGTTCAAGTCTAGGGTTAACCTATATCTCCCTTTCCTATCCGTACAAATTGCCTCCTAACGTAACACTCTATCTCGAGTGGCACCCGGGCCTTGTACAGAGTGAAACTTTCTGTAAAAAAATAGGGTGTGCGAATAACTTCTCACCATATATTTTAGACGAATGGCTATTTCTATCTCCGTTGACCGTCCATTACATTTCTTTACATCCGGGTCTCATCAAGCCACGGCTGCACTTCGTACGGACTTATTCGAATTCCCTACCAGATACTCGATACCTACTACGTGACCAAATGACCAAAAACCAAAAACAAACTGTTCCTTTAAACTTAAATAATTATTATTGTTCCAACTCTTTTTTTTCCTTTTTCCTGCCATGATGGTTATAAAAAAAACTATAAATTCAAAACTTGTTCGGACGCTCAAATCTTGTTCTCTATAATAAAAAAAAATGTTAGAAAGTTCTCAAGGTTATAGGGCAAAATTAATGACAGCCATTTTTCTGCAAAATCTTCATCTTGTTCATAAAAGTGCTTTTTAGTATTGCTGGTCCCGTTCTCTTCGCTTGTCGGCCATTTTGCAATCAATACCACTACAACGACCATCATCTGAGTCAGAAACATTTATACAAGATGCGATGGATAAATTGTCGTCTAAATTCGGCAAAAATTAAAATGATACTGACATCTCATTTTAACAGATATATTTATTAGAAAAAATATCTTAAAATACTAAAGAGTAAATCTATTCAATAAAATCGCCATTGGTTTCAACCACGTCCTCCAGGCGATTTCGGAATCTCCTGCAACTTTTCTGGGCGGTCTCCTCGTTTAAGTTGGTGAATGGTGCCATAATCCTTGTGTTCAGTTCATCTTTGGTTTCACAAGGAATTTTTTGGACTCTCGTCAAACTATGCTTCACACATAATAATCAAGAGGGTTGCAGTCTGGTTAAGTGGCCAGATATAAGAGGTGATGTAGTCACAGAAATTGTCTGACAGCCATGACTGGTTTCTCCTGCTTGTGTGGCATGGTGCAGACTCCTGTTACCAGACATAGGATCTTCCAGCAGCCACCCTCTTGACCCAGGACAGCACTACCTCTTCAAGACACTTGATATAGGCCTCAGTGAGTCTGAGGTCTACATCAACAAATTCGGGAGTTGTTTTCTTATCAGATCGATCAGGGTGAGTCTTTTGAGCTCTCGTACCTTTATAATCATCATTACTCATCCAACTCTTTCCGAATCCTCTGTACTGTCCTCAGATTGACACCCAAACACTCTTAAATGTTCGTATTGGAGCATCCGGCACGAATGCCAAGCAGTACAACATGCCGTTTCTAAATTTCTGGCGGAGTGAATTGTGTCATGGTGCTCTTATCCTCACAGACTATGCCGAACTGACCACACTATACTGTGCCGTCGACAAAATCAAAAATAGACAACGCGCATGCGCGAAATTAAAAATATAAAACAGTAACAATTTACCCATCGCACCCTATATATATATATATATATATATATATATATATATATGGTGGGTAGATGTGAGCACTTCTGTAGTAATGTTTTAAAAATATACGGCGAACTACGAAATGAAGACGTCAAAATCTGACAAGTTTGGAAATTTGACTATCCAGGTAGTGTGTCAACAGACGACAGAAAGTATGGCACCGAAATCCGAAGATTCATTGGGATAGCAAAATATGTCTTTCAAATGTTAAGATAAAGTATTACAGAAACAAATATAACAGTGTTCAACTGTGATGTATTATCACTCCTCTTATATGACAGTAAATGCCGGACACCTTCCCTACAGATGAAGAGAAGACTTGAGCCAATGGCGATGTTTTTCTACTCAAAGTACCATGCTGAGAATACCACAGACTGAACATGTGAATAATGAGGAAGTCTTAAGGAAAATGGGACAGTTCTGTGGGATATATAAATTTTAAGAGACATTTTCGGTATATATAATGAGGATAGAATAGAAATTGATACTCGCGTAACATATTGAAGGCAGTAGTAACAGATGAATTACCGGAAGTCGCAGTCGTATTGAATGTTTTTACATAAAACTACTGCGCGGTCTAGATCTCATAGCCTTCGTAGGAATGGCTCGGATCCCTGTACTATTAAACAGATAAAACCAACCCAGGAAAAAATGTTTCCTTTCAGCATCCTTGATGAAGAGACAAATAATCTGCAGAAGAATACCTGGCACACCACCCGAGGTGAAACCATGGCGTTTGCCCGGGAATCAGGGCAGCAGAACTTCTCTCCCTGAGTCAGAAACATTATGCTGAAGTGGTTTACTTGTCTTGGAAATCATCGTTTGAAATGCGAGCTTTTACCAGGCCGATTCAAGCGACCGCAGGCGCCGATGCGTAAAGCGTAACTGCCGACATGAAAAAAGATCTTTCCTGAACCGGATTGGTACGACGCCAAATAATAGAATACGACGATAGGAAGATTGTGTGCTTTGCTCTAATTTTATAAATAAAAGGGGTCTAACTGAATAGAAGACTAGAATTCAACATTCTGTTTTGTATAACGTCAAACGGAAACTTATCTTTTGTAGTTATTTATATTGTTTCTTTTTTCAGATAAACTCTATCTGAAATTTATATATATATATATATATATATATATATATATATATATATATATATATATATATATTATAATTTATTTAAAATATTATAACATAAATATGTTATAAAATCACTACAAAAATAGCTATTTTGTTTCAACACCTCCGGTGTCTTGTCAAGTGATGATGTTGAATGTAAAAGAAATGGTTTTCAAACCATAATAATTGTATCTGCTCTACTCTGTATTGAGCACTCTTTTAAGAATAGTAATTGTTGGTTATTGGAATTTATTCCGTATACACCAATCATATACTTAGATACACACACACACACACACACACACACACACACATATATATATATATATATAAATATATATATATATATATATATATATATATGAATAAATAATATAAAATAAATATAGTTTTAATGTGTGCTATATTTATTGGATAAAGTGGTCAATATCAGAGATAGAGCTTATGTAAATATAAATATAAAAGTAAACATTGTAGTCAACAGAGGCGACAGACTGTTACTTGACGATTGCGTCTAGCATGAAACTAAGTGTTGACTTCAATATTCACTTTCATATATATATATATATATATATATATATATATTCCTTGTTGTGTGTATTGCAGTTTCGTCTTCGTAAGAAAAAGAAAGAATACATAAGAAAGAGAAGACAAAAGAGGCGATAATGCTCTCATGTGTTTAACATCTGCTTCAGTGAAAGGGGAA